AACTAGCATTGCCCCCCCTCCCCCTCTCCTTCAGTTTTTCAATATCTCTTTCTTCCAGCTCCATAAGTTTACTTATAACCTCTTCCTCCTTGCCATTACAGTCAATCCCCAATACCCGACTAAGTTGCAAATTTGCTTCAGCTTCATTAAGTAGCCCGCACCTTCTACTTGACTCACTAGACATAAAGAGTGAAATTGCTGTCACTCCTGCCCTGAAAACAGCTCCTTTCTCCAAATTCATCGACATTCCTTACCTATTTTTCCCAATCTGGAGGCTACCCTCCTTGTTGAGAGAGTAACCTAAAACCCCTTTTGCTTTTTCCTTTCTAGTAGCTTTCCTTCTCTGTTTTGTATTTGATGTTGCCAGCAAAGGTCCCCTTACTTGGTTGTTTCATCCTTTCAGCTTGGACTTGGGTCCAAAAGTTACTAGTATATTGATTTTGATTTGAAGAACTGGGATGTACACTAACAATACTACAATGACACATCTCACAATTCTGTTCATGGCCCTTATTAAGCACCACTTCAAGATTTAGCCCAGGTACAGATTTATGAGGCCCACTTAAACTTTTCATGAAGCCAGATGTAATGACCTCACCATTGACTATTCGATTATCCCCCATCTCTTCGTGCGCCATCTTTATCATCACAGCTACAGATTTTCCTGCTCGTGCGCCCCCACTGTTTGATCTTCCCAATTTGCTGTCCATTTCCTCAACTAATGAAACATTTACCTCTTTGTCTATATCATCCATGTCATCACTCTCTCTTCATGCTCTTTATCTTTCTCATCCAAGTCAGCTTTACCTTCATGCTTTTGTGTCCTATCACCAATGGCCATGTCACTCATTCTGGCCAATACCTTACCTTGCTGGACATCCACGTCATCTTCATCCTCACCCAGATTGCCCCCTTGCTCTATTCGCTGATCGGGAGCTTCATCCTCTGAACTGGCTAACTCAGCTTGTTCATGCTTCTTCTGGCAGTTACACATCTTACTTATCACCACATTAGTAATGATTTGCTCCTCGCACATTTTCACTAGATACAAGATTCCTTTACAATCTAGCTTCACTGTTTGATTGATAGATTCCATACATTTGGTGGCAATTCTTATCTTTCCGCACTGAATACTCTCCATATTGAGGGTTTCCTTATGGATCTCTAGAATTTCACCCCATAACCTTCCTATATTGCTGAAAGTTTTATTGTTCCATAGATTTAATGGCACTCCATAGCAGCTCAGCCATACATATCTTTCTTGATCAATGACCATTCCTTTTTTCCATTCCTAGACTGATTCACTCCATTCCTGAATCCAATCCCTCATCTTGATGAGTTTTTATTTCATCTCTTGAGCTTATTCAAATGAGACAACTAAATCCCTGCCACCTACCTTTATAACTTTGATGGCCCCCATCTCCCTCCTGGTTAATTCCTTCCTGAATTCCTCCTCCAAACATTGCGGTTTCAGACGAACAATTACACTTTCATATAACCATCCATTAGCTTCTTCATGAGCTCCTAGGATTATGCTTGTGTTGTCTCTCCTCATCCCTTCACCTACCACCTGAGCATATGTTTGCTTTCTTCTCTCCATTGTAGCATTTGCATATTTTGCATTTCCTTCATTTCTCGCCACTTGTACATATGTTGTCCTTGGTTTTACTCCCTGATCCTTCTCAAAATTTGCTAGTTTTACCTTCAGTGCTCTGTTATCACACCACAGACCATTTGCTTTCTGAACTGCCATTTGTGCTGCAATAGGGCAGTCATATCTTACAAAACCAAACATTGATCTCGTTTGTTTCCTTCTCTTAAAAGAGATGTACACATCCTTCACCACCCCAAAATTATTGAAAAGTGAATACAGGCCTTTGGGTTCCTGGATTCTGGTAGTTCATCCACAAAGAGTATGTAGGTACCTATTTTTTGATTTGAGAAACCTCTCCCTACTCTTCCTTGTCTGAGCAGAACTAGTTACCAACCCCCTTCTCCTTCTCCAGCTCCATACCTTCTTCGCTCCATACCTTCTTCTCTCAAGCTAACTTCTAAGTCGACTCCCGGTTATGATGCGTTAGCGATGAAGATAACTTAAAGGGTTAAAGTGAAAAGGATTATAAACATGAAGGGCTAAAGTGAGAAAATCAAACTTAAAAAGCCAAAGTGAGGAGGATCACAAGCATGAAGTACCAAAGTGGGAAAGATTGCAAACATAAAGGGCTAAAGTGAGAAAAATCAAATTTAAAGGGCCAAGGTGAAAAATGAGAGAAACTTTAGAGGGTAAAGTGTAATTTAACCAAAAAATAAAATAAGTTTAAAAATTAATAAGACAAAATATCACATCTAAATTATAATCATTTTACTTTTTTTTATTAAAAAAAGTCAAAAAATCAACATAAGCGAATCTTTTATTCAAGCTAAAATAGTAAAAAATTCAACTCACTTCCCAAATGAAACCTTAACTCTTACAACTAGATTCTAATCAATATTTGCTAAAATTTATCACTTATTTATAATCATTTTCAATATTTATGTTGAACTCTTTTTTCTTTTTCTTTTTTATTTGTTTGTTGTATCCGCTCAAAAAGTTTTTTGATACTCAACTCAAAAGTTAACTTAGAGCATCTCCAACGTTTATTCAAATTTTTTATTAAATGAATAAAAGTTTGATCTGATATAATGTACTCCAATCGTTTTATCAAATCTGACTGGTCATTGTTCGGCCTAATATAAATTTTCATCAAATCTTTCCCAATCCGATCGTTCACCCAATTGACCGGCCAGTCATCCATGCGATTTTCCACCAACAATCACTTGCAAAATTTGATGAGAGGTTAAATACTCTTTTCATTTGATGAAAAAAATATATATATTTATATATGACTCCATTCATTTGATACCAATTTGGTGAAACGGTTGGAACATTGTTTTTACTAAATTTTTTAATTTGATGAAAGATATGAATCTATATTGGAAATGATCTTATTAATTTAAAATAAGCTCACAACGTAAGGTAGTATTTTAAAAAATTAGTTCGATTAACATCTTTTTGATTATTAGTCCAATTAACATCTTTTTGATTTTTTTAATTACTCTTATAAGTGGTTTAAGTTGATTTCTGGCGAGAAATGAGAGTGACAAATGACTTGAAGTTGTCTTCAAACAAAATGCACTTATAAGTGGTCCCAAGCAAAAGCTTAAACCATTGCAGAATCGAATGTACTCATAGAAAATGTGGAAAAATCACTATACTCTTAATTATTTTTACAAAATAAATCCCAAGTAACATTTGGGAACCGCATTCCTATACTTACCAAATTAACCGAAGAATTTGACTGACATCAGTTATGTGAAGAACACACTCACTAATCAATTCCGGCCAATTCCGGATTGGATGACCCCGGGAGCATTTGGGAATTACTCCATCAAATTTCACTGCTTCATTGGTGCGAACCTAGTTACCAACACTGTTCTAATTTTGCTTCCTTGAGGGGAGGAAGAAAGAACCTGTGTTTACCCTCAAGTTATATTTTAATAAGTTGACTTTGCCAAAAGAGACCCTCAAAAGTTTTTAAAAAAAAATGAACTCAAATAGACCCGAAATAGCCTTCGTTTTTTTTTTTTAAGGTAAGTTGATTTTTTGATTTTTTTTTTATTATTTTAACCTGAAATTAAAAAATCTCATTTGGAATAGATTTTTTAAATTTTTTTTAACTTTTGTAAAAGAAAAAAATAAAATAATTATAATTTAAATATAACATTTTATTTTATTAATATTTTAATTTATTTTATCTTTTTATAACTAAAATAACTAAAAAAAACCCCATGTCAAACATAACCTACGAGTGGTTTTTCAATTTAAGCAATTAAAATATGGACAATTGCCTTCCAGTTCACAGTTGAATGCCTTTCATTCCAAAAGCCCAATAACGTGTTCAAAAACAAAAGCCCACAACCATTAATCATCTTGTCGTAAAAATAAAAAAGAACTAAAATTAAAAAATCTATGACCTCCGTATACTCATCCAAACCGTTTGAGCACTCGTTGTGATACTCGAAACCCGTGTAATAGTTTATGCCTAGCAAAGGCGGTCACCACAAGCGCATCTTTTAGGCATTGGGTCCATTTTGCTATTGTTTTCTTTAGGAAAGAGACTTCGGTCCAGTTCATTTTGCTACCATAAGACCCACCACGAGTCTCGTTTTGATGATTTAAACCATGTAATATGTAAAACCCGTCAAATACTTCATACCTGTAAAAAATCACGTTAATTAAATATTGATAACTCCTTGATCAGAACACATTTTTATCAATGATAAATATGATTTTAAAAATAAATTACTAACAAAAATGTGTTCCGATCAACGTGATTTTTTGTAAACATAAAAAACTCAACGAACTCTACACATTGAAAGATTCAGATCATCAAAATAGAACCTGTGATGGTCCCACAAGCCTAACATCATGCTCCAACCCACTTTGTGAACTAGAGAGAAGCCTCTCCCTTTCTCTAAAATACATAAAACTTATTAGACAAACTATTTTCTAAAAGTAACTTGCCTTCTAAAAATCACAAAATTGTTTTTGAATTTTCATCACCAAGTTGTATTCAAATCCAAAAAGATTTACACAATGATAATCGTATGAGACCGATGGTTATTTTCAAACTTCTCATTATTTTTGTTTCCAAAAACACAAAAATAAATTAATAGAACTAAAAATAAAAATAAAAATGAAATAATAAACCAATTAAACTCTAATATTTCCATCAACAAAACTCTCACAAGTAAGAACATGAAAGCTCATGTTTATGAGAAAGTATTTTATGTAAGGGATATATCATGTGATAAGTTGACGTGTGTACACCATTCCACTCATTTGTTATGAAATAAATATGAAGCTTGTAAAGTCAGTTTGTGCTCTTGCCCGAACTGCTGTGAGTGTTCAGCCACATCAAACTACAATTTCACTTTTTATCACATGATAAATAATGAGTAAAAAAATACACCTAGTCATCTCGTCACTTTTTATCACATGATAAATAATGAGTAAAAAAATACACCTAGTCATCTCGGCCACATGATGTAATCAGTATAGCAAAACGGTTAATATAGACACCATCCTAAACTGCTGAACAGCAAAGAACAACTATTTAGGCACAATCAAACCCAAAAAGCAAATTCAAAAACAAAACAACTACCACATTTCTCAGAAAGAGAATAATCTAATAATGCCTATATATGCATGAGCTAAATGTCAAAATAGTGTACTTAACGTAGAAATTTTGCTACTCCAAGTATTCTTCTTTTCAAATAAATTTTCTACCGTGCCAGTTCCTAAGTAAAGTTTTATGTGTTTTACCGTACACTACACTTAACAGCAGTTGACAAGGGCAACAAATTATCACAGGTACTTTTATCAGGGATAGGAGAGTCAGTTTCCATGACCTGGGCCTTTCGTTCCCTCGGATATGGATAGATGGCAGCCAACTCCCTAACTCGTCGCAGAATAGATTGTGGTATTACTTGTGATGTGTGCTTCCTTCTTGATTCAACCTGCACCAATCACATCGATTTGGTAAACTTCATGACTGGAAAGCAAAAGCAAAAAACAAAGAGTTGCTGAATAGTTTTTCCATGTAGACATAAATAACTTGTTCCATATGAATTCCAATTCATAATGTTGTGTAGGTGTCTGACACGGTGCCCAACACAACATACCACATCTTAGAAATGTCCGTGTTTCTTAGAATCCAGTTAACTGTGTTAATAACTTAAGGTAGAATAAATATAAAGCAGCTAATACCCAACCTTTCTGTTGCTCTGCAACTGTGGGCAGCTGGCCCTAAGAAGATTTCTCCATTTGTCCTGAAAGCTCGCTCAAGTAAGGTCAAAAAAATTAGACCCAAAAAAAGAAAGAAAGAATGGTGAATAATGAAATGATTAGAACCACAACTACCTTGAGATCAACAGATGTCCGGTTTGCAGATGAATGGAAAAGTAGTCTTTTTATCTCAGTCCATCTTCCAACTCCATACACAGAAACGCCTTCGACCAACTTTGACACTTCTGAAAGGGACCAGTACATGTGGTGCTTTCTCCGACTCTTACCCTTCTGAGTCTTAGTCCCCGCGCTATAATCATCTTCAGACACATCATCTTGTGACTCAGTTGAAAAAGACTCCATATCAGAATCTATATTTGAACCTAAGAGCTTACTGTCTTCGCAACCCTCAGATTCATGCACCTGAATAGAAAAAATCATAAGCAATTCTATAAGATTGAGCAGTGATGTTACTCAAGATTATATTGTTAAAGCCCAAACAACCATATTCAAGAAACATGAACTTATACAAATGATAACACTGACGGCTGACAGAGAGAACCTCTCAAAATTGATACCCAAAATTGATGCTAAGTCAACAATTGTCCTAAAAGCTGAAGTTGTTAGAAATTGGATCCAACAACGTATATCAAGCTATCCAACAGCAATACAAATGATGACACAGATGGCTGACAGAGAGAACTTTCCAAAATTGATGCCAAGCCACCCGTTGTCCTAAAAGCTGAAGTTGTTAGAAATTGGATCCAACAACGTATATCAAGCTATCCAACAGTCATTAACTATTTGATTTTCAACTTGCATACTTGGAATCAGGTCAGAGTAACACCCTCAGCTAAATTGAAAGCTGTCAATACTTTTAAAACAATAATCCGAATTTGAAGAATTGAAGCGTGAGGTATAATATACCACAAACTGTTGCAATTCATTTATCAGATAAAATTCTCACCTTTTTCTTCAGGTGCCCCTTGTGAACCGGTTGACCAAATGGAACCTGAATACAAGCTCCTTTGAAAGGTTCCTTCTGAGAGACAAAGGGTTTTGATTCAAATCCTTTGTGACAATGCAGCTTGTAAGATCCATTGTGCAGAAGTTTATCCCTTGAGAACGTACTGGAAAGAACACAACTCCTCTTTTGATGCCTTGAATTGTGTTCCAATGATTCTTCAATGTACCTTCGAGTAGGCTTGCGCACTCTCTTTCTTGTATCAAGTACGCTTTGCTTTTCTCCTAATTCAGAAAAACTCAACACAGCTTTTCTAACCTCTGAAGATATGGCTTTCAAAGAAACATGGTTATCATGCCTCTCCCTCTTCACATGTTGAACTCTTGGCTTTCTTTTGAAATTGAACACAGCTGTGAAGGGGCTGGACACTCTTCTGGAGCACAGATCACTTGTTGACAAGATCATTTTGCCTTCATTTTCATTGGAAGGTCCAAGAAGATTCTGCAGACCAAATGATAAATGGCGCTTCAGCCACTGCTCGTCAGTCACTGTTGTTTCACGTCCAAACATGTTCCTAAAGGCCTCATGTAGCTCGTCAATTGTCATCTTATCAAGTAATGAGGAATCCTGACATGTACCCTGAAGCACTGGAATACTTGTCGTAGCCAATTCTGATATCTCAGCACCATGCCCTCTTCCACCCGAGACCATAGACTTACTTTCTAGATTCAAGTTTCCCACATATGGTCCTTTGATTGGATTGAAATCAGAAGCTTCATCAACAAACTCAGTATCTGACGAAAAAAAGACAAAAAAGTAAAATAAAACAGCAGTTTGACGACTTTAACTAATTAGTATAACTTTCTAATCACTCACCCAGCAGATAATCTTCACAGGTATCTATAAGATTATTTTTTCCATCAAGAACCGTTGCATCAGTTCCTCCCGACACCCCATCTGAAAACTACAATCACAGTAATCACATGCAAATTAAAAAAATCCTAGCAACAATAATCAGTCAAATTTCCCAAGTAAATTAAAGAACGCAGCAGAAAATGACCAAACAAAGAAACAAGGCATGTAAGAGTACCATAAATCTATCAGACAGTGAAAGACTAAATAACAAGCAGGAAGAAATTGCATAACAATTTCTCAACCCTAGCACTCTAGCACAGGGACTGTTCATGATACCCAAAATAGGTCACAAGAGTCATCGGAGGTCTCCCATGTAGAGCCAAGAGCGTTATCTACTAAGCCCTCTTTGTGGTCACCAGATTGCAACATTATATATTTTGTGGACGGTTTGAAGAGAGCGAAATAGGAGATCTTTTGATGATGTTGAGCTTCCCCCCCATCAATAACTTCAAGTTCATGCTCCTTTCTTTATTTTTTGGTTAAAGTAGTGTCTTTTCTTTATAGACTCTTTTGTGCAGTGTAAAGGTGAATTATGCATGCCACTAGATGTAAGCTTACAGAGTTTAGCTACGGCATTTCATTTTAGTTAATAAAATGTTGCTTATCAAAAAAACAAAACAAAACAAAAAGAAGAAGATTTACCTCGAAAGATTGGCAAATTCATCCTTCATTTGGAATCTTATGAGAGTTTTAAGTTACGTAACCAACAATAAACTCGCTCAATTGATTACCAAGGTAGACTGGTTAAGTAGAAAAATATCTCACATTGCTCGTGCAACACATTTACAGGCAATGCTAATATGTCGTATCAAATATCAGAAGAAGACAGTAATATATAAAAAATAACATTTTAGTTTGCAGATAAAGATGTAACTGATTCTTTTTAGAGCTTTGAAAACTTCAATATTTTTAAGAGAGCTTGTAACAATTTTAAGATGCTAGTTCTAGGAGCACGTCAAATTTAATGAACTATAATCAAATCTGCAGAGATTTACTGTCACAACCACAAGTTAATAGACCTCATAATAAAATTAAGGTGAGAAAATATCATCCATTACTCACAAAGAGACATACTTCTTCTTTGATTTTCTCGCTTAGGTTAGTATTGGAATCCAGTGTACCTGAAAGAGAAATCACATACAAAAGAAATAAGAATTAGTACTGAACCAAAAAATGACACAAGTAGCCAAATAATATTTGATGGACATGAAGAGGCACTTAAAAACACGACAGTAATTAAGGGTCCATTTGGGATGACACAATTTTAGCCAAAAAGTCAAAAAGCCACTAAAAAAGCCAAAAGGCCATATTTAAAAATTAGGGTTCGTTTGGTTTGTATTTCTAAAAAATTTTTGAGAAATTTTCTCTACAAATAAGTTTTTAAAAGTAATCAAACCAAACAAATTTTCCCAAAAAAATTTCTCAAAACTTGTAAACCAAACAAGTTTTCCAAACAAATCTCTCTCTCACACACATCAAATCAATCACTTTTCCAAAACTCTCTCTCAAAATAATTTTCCAAAACATCTTTTGAAAAAAACCAAACCAAACAACTTTTCGTACTTTTTATCTCTAAAACACATCTCTCAAACACAAACCAAACATACCCAAAGAATCCTTCCCATTCTCTCTACTTTTTGCACATTTTTTCGTAAAAAGTCAAAAATTCATTCCCAAACAGTTGCGTTTTATTCGCCTCATACTTTAGCCAAGAGGCCCACTAAAAAGGCCATTTCCCAAACAAACCCTAAGCTTTCTAATGACCTGTTTGAACTACTAACAGGCCATAGATAATAACATTGCATTAAACTGAAATTTAAAATGAAAAAATAAAAATAACAATGATAAAGCATGTGCAACTAGGCAAGTCAAAATGTTTGACAGCTGAATCTGCAAACAGCTTACATTAGTTTTGACTTTAAAAAAATGCATAATGGTTCAGAACAGCTTTCTTGCTGAAGATACTAAACCATGAATTCTTACAATTTCAATGATTTTGTTTCTTCCAAAATTTCAGATCAAATAGGGGAAGTTTAAATTGACTGCAATTGATATTTCTGTTTAGTCACCAACTTTCCCAAAGTAGGCCAACAACGTAGATCAAGCTATCCAACAAACTCAGTCACCCAAGGAAAGGAACCACAAAAATATATTGTGGGCATCAATACGCTAAAACACATAATGTATAGTAACTTCCCATTAAGTACTTGGTAAATTACGTACACATGCAAACCGACGTCTATTCAATCATATACAAAAAAAAAAATTAGCTAGAGGACATTTTCAAGACTTTATGAGCAAAATGCTGGGATTCAGCAGAATGTGTCCCGGGATCACTAGAGAGATGTAGCTTAGAGAGGCTAGATAGAATCAGGGTGCCTCACCACTCACCCCCATCCCATGTAGGTTGCACCATGGCCAGTCTTAAACTATATTACATAAACTCTTCAAAATTTGTGAAGTACCCATGTCAAGCACTTAATACTTGATAAAGAGGGTACGGGATATATGTCTTTGATATACCTAGATGGAGATGCACCCACAGAATATGTATTAGAAGATTTTATTATACTATGCATAAAACTTCCATTTTTTACATACAATGCTATAGTTTAGTTTGTAAACATCATTTTATTCTTTAAAAAAAATAAAGAAATATGAAATATAATTGTGCCCTGGTGTCCTTGACATGATAATTAGATGAAGAAATATGAAATACAATTAAGTTTAGCAGAAAAGTTAAGGGTGCATTTGATTTTTTTCTTGAAAACTATTTCTACTCTCGAAAACATGTATATATATATAAGGAAAACTAATATGAAAAACTCAGCAAACTGTTTTCGAAATTTTTTTCTAAAATCAACCCATTTCTAGGAAACATTAGGGAATTCTTGAAATTGCTTTCATGAGAAAACTAAATGATACGAAATCAATGGTGCTTTCATACTTATTGTTTTTGTTTCCAAAGACTAGACACGAAAAAAAAAAAAATAATAAAATAAAATAAAATTAAAAAAATTAAAAATTAAAAATTAAAAATTAAAAATTTTGAAAACAATATCAAATAGACCATAAGATTCCATGGGTACTTCCTCCATTCTTCATTTAGTTTGGGGGTTTCAAGGCAAGTCAAAGACATTACACTTAAAAAAAGTATTTAATACTGAATGCAAAGCCAAGTGAAAGTTTAAATGTGACATGCTATAACAATAGGTGACTTGATCAGCATAGCTACATATGTAAATTCTCTAATTTATCAGCCCAGCACAGACAGTATACATGAAAAAAAATTGTGTAAGGTACTCTACCCCATCCTGCAACGGTATGCAACCATTGATTAGGTAACCTAAATAGATAACCTAGATGAAAGCCCTGACATAAGAAAACATAATTTGATAACTATTCAGGCCTATCATGATAAACCAAAGGGAAAAGCACTAAAAATGAGTGACATTGCTCCCAAAACTTCCTTGGAATGAACATCCACAAGGCAAAAGAAAAGCTACAGCACCTAAAAACAATTGCAGACAAGTGAATTCCAACTATACATTGGCAAGGGGTTCAGCCCAACTACTTTCTTTTTCAAGCCTTGTGGGACCCAAAGATCCCTAAACGATTGCAAGATCATTATGTTAACTATCAGCTAAAGAGAATTGATATAAAGTAAGATAAATCCATTGTGGACATTCCTTTCAGTAGTACAAATTCCTATCAAATAGAGAAAAGAAGCAGCAGATACCCAAACATATAATTACAAGTTGATAGGATTATTACCATTATTAGTTTTTATAGAACCATACCCAACAGTAGGGCATTCTTCAAAATTGAAGCATGTATGTTGACTGAAACTGTTAAAACCTAGAACATCATCACCTAAGGCATTGCATTTAGGTTCAGCGAATAAATTTTCCACTGCTATGACTTCATCTTCTAAGGCTGGAAAAAACGACCCATCTTCCACAACCTAGGCAACAAGTAAAATGTCACAAGGGCACAATATAATTCTTTAAAATGAAGAAGAAGAAGAAAGAAATACGAATAGAAAAATACACACTCAAACGGACAAATAAGATGAACTTTAATCTTGAGGAACAGCAATGTTGTTGACCAGCTAATGAAACATGACATGACCATGTGGCGTGTAAGTCCTTCAATTAAGTTTATTGCCTGGGTTACCTTTTAAAGATTGGAGGCCAAAACAGAAAAAATGCAGACAAGTGGTGAGTCTCACTATTAAGCCATAAGCAAAACTCACCTTCCTGTGAGGCCACCCATATCTCATTCAACTAAACTTATGTACTGTCAACTTGCATTATTTTCCTTCTTTTTCTCATACAAAGACTTGATTCAACTGCTCAAGATAGGTAAACCAACAAATCTAATGTCACTTGCCCCATTGTTATAAAACTTGACTGTCATCTATGCCCTAGACTTACTCCATAGTGCATTCGATTAAACAACAATCTTTTCAAAATTACAGTTGTCTCTCAAAATTAGGGGGGCATTTGCATTATTTTATTGCAAAAGTTACAGATTTTGCAAATTGTAGTTTTCAGTGGAATTCAGAGCTCTTTTAATGTCATTAATTCATGGTGTGAAGCCAATGAATAAAGAGAAACGTGCTTGTTGAACAAATCTAGAAAATTCTTTAAAATTTCAGGAAGAAGAAGAATAAGCAATATGCCAAAGAGGCAAAGGTGAGTACAATACAGCAGGATATCTTTTTTTTTATAAGTAACAATATTTAAAAAAAAAAAAATCATTAAAGGAATGCCACCTAAAAACAAGAAACAATAAAAATAAAAATAAAAACATATATGCGCCTCACGAACACCAAGAGAGGATCTTACAAAAGGCAAGAAAAATCCAAGACAGTGAAGAAAGAATGAGCCAATAAGAATCCAAACCAAACCTCCATATGACACTTGCGAGGGAGTGTAACTCCCAGAAAAGAGTTATAGCATCAAAGTTCCTATGTACGGATCACTACGTTGTTATTGCAATGCAAAGAGACAATAAAACGTGGAACCTTGCTCCCTAATAACATTCAAGATTGTGCAAATATCTCAGGGCCTGGAGTACTAGTTTAGCCATTTGCTTGTAGTCTCACTTCCGATAATTATTTTAATTTTTTTTCTATCTCACTCCCCATAATTTTTTTTTAAAAAAAAAAAAAAAAAAAAATCTCTCTTTAATAAGAATGATCATACTTGGTTGTTACTGTGGAAATGAACGTCGTTGAAGTGCCAAGTCCGTGGAATCCTAATGGCCTGTTGTAATAAATTTAAGATTTTATAGCTTAAACCCCAAATTTTCCCTAAAAACAATTTGGCAGCTTAATGAATCTCACTGCTTAGGTTGCTATGTTCTTTGATAACTCTACATCAACTTCAATTACTGAACATAACTAGATCCACATTTTAAGCTTTTCCTCTTACAATTATAAATCTTTTTGTCCAGACATTATTGTGTATAATTAGCGATTCTTTCAAAAGCTTATTTTGAGATATTTTCTTTATATTCTTTGTACATTAGCTGGATTGGTTTCTGCACCTTATCACGTATGAAGTCACCTCTTACATCTTAAACTTTTCTTTTAAATTTGTTGAGTACATGACCTATTTAGACATTTCCCTTGTGCGTCAAAGAAACTTGTTGGCCAAGCAATCAAAGAAGCCAAGTATGATTAAGTTTGGAACATTAATAAAGCCCACTGGAATGGAACCATTAACTCCAACCTACACAAATAGTAAGCCACCATAGCAGCCCCACCAGTCTAAACAATATTACCAGAATAACCCTAACATTAATAACTTTAAAAAATAAAAAATCCTTAAAAAGAATTAATAAAAACCTTAATTTTTTTGGACAAATGCCAAAAAAATGAAAAGGGATTTCTTTTTCCCCAAAGTCCAAATCTGATTTTTTTGAATTCAGCAGAATATGCCAACTTTCTTAACCAAATATATTGTATGAATTCCTACCAATTCAAATGCAGACACCCATTCTGCATCCAATTTTTTCTATATGTGAACTTTTAAAACCATGCTTGTACATATGTTTTAGGCCTCCAATGTCATTAGTGATTAATTATCAAAAATACAGAAAAAAGAAAAGAAAGAAATAAGAAAGTAAGAAGAAAGAATTTCTTAAACTATTGGAGAATCCTATTTTATGAACTTCATTCAAGTTCTATAATGTTATTTTCGCACTTTGCTGTAAAGTGCTATTGATTCATTGATGGCTATGTTCTAGAAGAACAAGCATCAAACCAGGTAAAGTAATGGCCCTTATTCTTTCATTGCTCGATGACCATCAGTTGTACAACTTCTATACTAAGCATTAATACAAAAATTCCCCTCATAAAGTCATTAAAAATAAGCGCATCTAAATGCCCTATGGCTACAAGAACCGCATTGATTTGTTAAAGGATCAACATAGAAAAGTATCATCAAGTTACAAGCTGTACCATTGAGTAAGCTTAGAAAGAGTAATCAATTACATCTTGTGTCAGGATTAATCTTACCTGGGCAGGGTTCTTTCCAAACATGTTTACAGTCTCATTAAAAGTCATACCATCTTTGGATCCATTTATCAGAATTCTGGATTTGAATTCTCCTTGCTCATCTTCTGACATTTTCTTCAATATGCAGACCACAAAACCTCAAGGATGAAATAATCAATATTACACTTCATAAGCAGCAAAGCTAAAACTTGTAAATAGCATGCAATGGAATTCTGTTTACAACTACTAAAAAAAAGGCATTAATCCGTACTTTTGTGAAAGTTAAGGAGACTCAAACTCGTTATCGGGGGATGTCACCTAAGATGTTGGGACACCCGTAGGGGACAATACTCTAACCCATACAATACCACCAGCAAGCAATAAGGGTACACATTTTGAAACATGAAAGTAAAATATTGTCTGCAAGAAAATAAGGTTATAAACTTTAATGCACTGTTAAACATGCTTATCCAAATTCCCAGGGAAATAAAAAAGAAAATGCTAGGCATACCAAATTAGTGGCCCAATTTAATGCACTGGCTGATGTGAACAGGGCACTCTTGAAATTAAGGGAAATGCCCAATTATTGTCTTCCACAATCAAAGAAGCATTACAATAGATAGTCCACATCACCCAAAGAAAGAGACCAGTGATTCTTAGTGTTCCTTGCAGTAGTTAAGTACTCTTACACAAATTGTTATAGGATATTCTCCCGATATGAGAGAGAGAGAGAGAGTTTTAGGTCAGCCATTAGGTTTTACTCTTAAATATTCAGAACAGCAGCATTCTAATCTCTGAATATATCAAGGTTTTTTTATAGAGAAAATCTCAGCATTAAAGAATACAAATATTTTTTTAAGAAATGTTTCTATTTGTAAGCAAAAAGCTCAAACCTAATTGCACGCGATCTTCTTGTAGTCAATAAAATCAGGAGTTCCATAAATTGTCTTTTCCTGAATGGACTATAAGGTCATAACATAAAGGGAAGAATTTCTCTTTAGTGACAGATCATAAAGGAAGGGTGGAGGCACAGAACCAATCCTTTTAAACCAAATTATACCACCTCTCTTATAGTTTACCCTTTTCCTCTTCATTCCAATCAATCCATTGCAGTCAAAAATAATTTAACCATTAATAAGAGTTCGATAGTAAGTTTCATATAACAAAACTAATGCCTACCCCCTAACATCCACAAACACCACCAATTCAGTAGCTCTACCAGGTCACCACCAATAGCTCCAAGTTTAATCCAAGGATAGTCCTACCCCAAAAGAAACATTTATTTACTAGTGAATGATTGGTGTGTGTTGGTAGTTGTAATAAATCTATTTTTATGGATGACAATTATGCTTATTTTATAGTATAACTACAGGCTCACAGCCACTGATGTCCTTTCTTATTTACCATTACTAACTCAGTATAGACTCACATCTTATCAGAAGGTCAATGTTGCATACAACTGCTGATACATGTACCGTACTAACCATGAAAACAAAAAAGTAAACATTGTGCTATACTTCCATTTTAATGAAGTTTCTGCTTCATTAATAAAATCCAAGTAAATATTTTGAATGTCATCACCAACTTTTCCTAACAGAAAGTATTTGGAATATCAAACAACTTTTCATTTTGAAATTAATGTGGAACAACTTTTCCATTGCATGGTATCACAGCTATATTTAAAGTATTTTGTTCGACGCATCGAATTGCTTAAAATTTAGGAAAAGTTGTTAAACATAGTATCAAAACTTTGGTTCTAGAGGGTAGTATGTTGGAGTTTTTCTACCTGCATTTGTTCGCTGATTATGTCTATTTAGTGTTCTCAAGTGCCCAGCCAGTCTGAACCTATTGTATTGTTGCAATCAATGCTCTCACTCCCACTGCCATTCTCACACTCACTTCACACTTTGATTCATCTTAAACAAAATGCATTTGAATTCAGATTAGCAAAATTCCTGAGACGGGAAATGAAAACTGAAATTTCTTCAATGCTTACTTTTACACGACTTACTAAATTTGTGAATGGTGATCCCTTACACCCAAATTCCTTAGTCGCCAAAAATTCAGTCTACGTACGTACACCATCAGTTCCAAATGTACTAAAATCCACAACCACCAATATAAATATCACAAAATCCTAATATGCATTGACAACACCTAACAGATTAAGCAACTGGAGTCCATTTTGTAGTCCATCTTACAAATTATTTCACACTGATGAGCACATCCTGAACCAATATCACAAATCAAAAATTCATTATAATTCAATGACTCCAGTATGTACCCCATGCACATGGATGCAAACAACATAATAAAATATATATCCATATGCATGAGTATTTTTATGTATAATCATCAGTGATTGATTAGTAATCATCTGAGATGGGCCAAATAAACAAAGACCCCCAAAAAACCCAAAATCATGTTAAATCAACTACAGAAATACATATTTTAGAATTACAAACATGGAAATATATACATATATATGTTCAAAATCTACAACAAAAGTTTGGGCTACAGATATATTATTCATATATGTATACAGAGAGAGAGAGAAAGAGAGAGAGAGAGAGATCACACTTTAGGAGTCAAATGAAATGTAGACTTGTAGAGAAAGAAAAGATTCAGTAAAATACCTTTTTCAAGGACAACGCCTTGACGGGACAATCCTAACGAAATAAGAAATATTTTGAAGAGATTGGCGAGGAAAGTCAAGAACCATCACATTGTGATGTCAGAGAGAGAGACAGGAGAAATTAAGGGGAAGGAAAGAGAGAGAAAGTGAAGGGAAGGGAAAGAAAATTGAGGAAAGAGAGGGAAAGTAGAGAGAGAGACTGTGTGAAGCAGCGGTAGCTTTTCGCATTTGCTTTTTGGAATTCCTGAGACGGACTTGAAATGATACGCAAAGGTGGATTGGAATGGTGGGTTTCGATTCCGGGGGCGCGACACGTGGTCGTTCGCCGCCTTCCACGTAAACGACGGCGTTGTACGTAGAGCAGTCGTCAGATTGTCAGAGTCCGTCTGACATTTTTTTATTGAAATTCACCTACAAATTTATGAAGTTATCTTGAAGTGCGCTCTTGAATTTTGGTAGAATTTTTATTTTTATTTATTTTTATTTTTATTTTTATTTTTGAAGAAATTCAATTGGTAAGTAGATTATTGAAAATTACAAAAAAAATTAAAAAAATAAAAGTCAATTTATTAATTTATTGATTTATTTTTGTCAATTTTTTTTTAAAATTAAAAAAGTTAATAAATTAACTTTTTTTTAAATTACCAAAATATGTCTAATTTTTTACACTTTACTTTTTTAAAAAATTATCCTCTTCATTCCAATCAATCTGAATATTTTTTTTTTTTTATTTATTTACTTATTATAAAAAAATAGAGAAATAATATGATCTTAATAAATCAGTAAAAAAAAAAATTTTGACCTTTTCGAAAGAGGCCTTAGTCAATATTTTTTTCAAGTAAAAAATATATTTATACTAAAATATTATGTTATTCTTGAAAATAAGGATAATTATAAATAGGAAAAATTGGTTTAAGCTCCCTCTCCAACTTTTGATAGGAAGAGAGGTACACAATAATATGTTTTGATGGTTAAAATCCCTCAACTTTATTTTATGTTATAAAATACATAATTTACCCTTGTTTGGATTTTGGAATATTCTATTGCTCAGTTCAAAAAAAAAAAAAAGACAAGAATATTAAGTTGCTAATTTCATGGTGGAGATTTTGGAAACTGGTTTCGCAGTGGAGATTTTGTCAGAAATTTCATAGGGATTTCGCAACTATTGCAGTGTACTTGACGATAGAGACTTCGACGATCGTGTAGGTGTTACAATGTGTTGATCGCGTAGGTTTTTCAGTGAAGTTGAATCAGGTATGGTTTCTGAGAGAGAGATTTATGGTTTGGTTTGGGCCGTGGTAATGGCCGGGCAGATTTGGGCCGAACAAGTTTGGGTCGCGGTGAAACGGGCCTATCCTGAAAGGTTTTGCTCGGTTAAGGCAAGGCGTGGTCGGCCGAGCTGTTTGGCTTTATGGTATAGAAGCCGGTCGAGTGAGATAACCGGCGCCAGGCAAGGTGTGGAGGTTCCACGGTGCATGATTTATCTGGGCTATGTCGGGATACAGCCGAGCTCGGTCCTCAATGAGCTTGGTTATTGGAACGCTTGGGCTTGAAGTGCAGCATGGTCGTTGGCAGCCGAGATACTGCAATCCGGCTGCCGAGCTCCCAGTAGAGTGGGCTGGCAGTTGGGATTAGGTGATGTTCAGCAAGATCTGTGCTAACAAATGGGATAGCAGTACCACGTGTCGAGAGACTAATGGGAGTAGATTTGGGGCGCAGAAGGTATATAAGCGAGTCTGCGCCCTCCATACTGAGGATGACACATTTTTGGTGAGATAAATACTAAACACAACTCAGTCATCTCTCTCTCTCTATCCCTGGTGTGTGTGTCTAACTTGATCGTCGGAGGGATTTTTCGGCCACACACCGCCGGGTAGCTCACCGCCGTTGTGTTCACAGGTCGATCGGACAGGCAGGAACTTGGAAGAAAGGAGTGCGGGCTTGCCTGAATATTTGCTCCCCGCACAATTGGCGCCGTCTGTGAGAACATTGCAGACAAAACCTTATCTTCCAGGCTCATCTGATCGCCGACCATGGCGAACAACGAAGCGATTCTGCTGTTCGTCGTTGACGGAGTTACCTCGGAGTCGGGCAGAAGGAGAGAAGGACATCCCTCCATCATTCCTTCGATGGCGAACCTGGAGACTTCTCTAGGAGGACACTCAGGAAATGCGCGCGATAAGCGCAGAAGAAGTTATGGTCATTCACGGAGTCCAGACGATCATCGGCGGTGGAGAGAATCGCACGCCAGACGTCTGGAACACAAGCTAAGGGACCAAGACGCCGTCATCCGGCGAATGGCGGCGGAAATGAAGGAACTGAAGCAGCATGTCAAAGGAAATGGTGTAGCTGGAGGGGGAGACCACAGTGAGCGCACCCAACCCCGTTGTTTAGGCAGTCAGAGTCAGTGGCACACTCCTTCCATTTCTATCACCAGAAGTTACAAGGTTGGAGATTCCGACGTGCATGTAGAGAAATCCAGCGCCCAAGATAGCACTTACCAGTCCTCGCATCCGGTGACGACGTCGAAGTACTCTTATTCCGCTCAATCAGAGGATTTGCGGACAGTTTTGAAGGAACGGGCTCGCCGGCGAGAGGCTCAGAGGGTGCCGGCATTCCATCGGCTATCCTATGGGGTTCACGCCAGCGAGGAGGTCGGAATGCCTCCACCCCGCCCAACCGCGCCTCTCCCTATAGACACAGACTTGGCGAGGCTCAGTACCACTCCATTCTCCGTGGATATAGAGACAGCACCGCTTCCGGCGGGCTTCCACCAGCCAAAGTTCACACTCTACGAAAGAAAAACTGACCCGTATATGCATGTAAGTCATTTCTGACAGGTCATGGCCAGACATAGGCGAAATGACACTCTTATGTGCTTGATCTTCCCGTCGAGTTTGGGCGAGCTAGGTTTGAAATGGTAGGAGAGGCTGCCGGAGGGGAGCATTGAAAGGTGGCAGCAGTTGGGCGAGGCCTTTGTGACGCGCTTCAAAACCAACACGAAAACACCAAAGGAAGTTGATCATCTACTGAGTGTCAAGATAAAACCGAGCGACACATTGAAGGCATACAACTCCAGATATTGGAAGACCTTCAACGAGATCTTGGATTGCCCGATCAACCTTGCAATCACATAGTACAAGCGTGGTCTCCTGGTCGGACATAGACTGCGGGACTCACTTACCATGCACCAGCCGACATCCATGGGCCAGCTAATGTAGCGCATCAATGAGCACATTCGAGTGGAGGAGAATGCGTCAGCATCTACTGTGAAGGCAATTCCGGTAGCAACGGACAAGAGGTCGGCTGGCAAAGTGCACGCGGTCGGACAAGAGTCCAACCGTTCAAATGACCGCGCTGAGGAATCGGACCGTGGCTCAAATCGCAAAAATCGGGGTAGGAGACGTCAGAATGACTGGGATGACTACCCCCGGGATGACGTAGCCGATGCAAACAGAAGATTGAAGGCCAGGGCAGGTATCACCACGGTCTTTAAGATTCCAATCTATCGCATACTTAGTGAAATTCGTGACGAGAAGTATGTCCGGTTTCCTGCTAAGTTGGGCGACGGACAGAAGGGCTTCGATCCGCGGTACCGTTGCACGTTTCACCGGGAGCACAGCCACCGGACGGAGGACTGTTTGCCTTTGAGGCAACACTTGAAAGAGCTAGTCGCAGCTAGACACCTGGACCTTTACATTGATGGAGGCGTGAAGGCAAATCAAGCTCCGGTTGACCCGCGGAGACCGGATGACCGGGATGCGCCTCCTCAAGGGATTGTTAACGTCATCCACGGGATAGTGGAACCGGCGCATGTATGCGAGCTCTGCGGTATGATCAAGAAGGCAGAACACATGAGGGAAGTTTTGTCAGCCTGCGATCAAGAAGGGGAAGACCGAAGTGAAAGATGTGATCAGTTTCTCCTCAAGGGACCTAGAGCGCATTCAGACGCCGCATAATGATACCCTAGTGGTTACACTCCGCGTCAAAGAATTTGATGTCAAACGGATCTTGATCGATCAAGGAAGCTCGGTCGAGATCATGTATTACGACGCATTCAAACAGCTCAAGCTCCGAGATGCGGATTTGGCTCCGGCAACCTTGCCACTGGTTGGTTTCAACTCACAATCGAAGTGGCCTTTAGGAAAGATTATCCTGCCGGTCAAAGCGGGGTCCGTGGTAAAGCAGGTGGAGTTCTGGTTGTTGCAGGTGCCATCTATTTATAACCTGATCCTTGGAAGAGGATGGCTTCACGCTATGCAAGCCGTGGCGTCAACCTACTACCAGGTAATGAGATTTCCCTCAACTATGAGGGCAATTGAGGAGATATGGGGCAATCAAGTCATGTCGAAGCAATGCGTCGTGGCAATGAATGGGAGCCGGGCTGCCAAGGGCTTCGTCCAAATGATTGAAGGACCGGAAGACTGGGGGGTCCTTGATGATATGGATACTAAGGCTGAGGACAAAGCCGTTGAGGAATTGGTGGAAGTGCGAATTGATACAGAGAATCTGGAGAAGTTCTTCTTGCTCGGCTCAAGCCTTACTGCCCGAGAAAGAGCCGAGATGGTTGAGTTTTTAATGGCTAATATCGAAGTCTTCGCATGATCGCCTTACGACATGCCCGGCCTCGATCCGAGTTTTATTTGCCATCGCCTCAACATCTTCTCCGGAGCCAAGCCGGTCATTCAGTGAATAAGGAGATCGACGCTGCATCACAATGAGGTAGTTGCCGAGGAAGTGAAGAACTAACTGGAGACACGCGCAATTCAGGAAGTGCACTACCCTCGATGGATTTCAAACACGGTCGTGGTGCCCAAGAAAAATGGAAAGTGGCGAGTTTGTGTGGATTACAAGACCGTCAACCGAGCCTGCCCTAAAGACAGTTTCCTTCTGCCCAGAATTGACCAGCTTGTGGATTTAACAACTGGACATAACAGGCTCAGTTTCTTGGATACCTACCGCGGATACCATCAGATTGCCATGCATGGCCCGGACCGAGAGATCACCTCATTCACTAAACCACGGGGACTCTTCTGCTGTCGAGTTATGCCTTTTAATTTGAAGAACGCTGGGGTGACTTTCCAAAGAATAGTGACTAAGATGTTTGCTCCTTTGCTGGGCCGGACAATGGAGGCTTACATTGATGATATAGTGGTTAAAAGTCGGCATCAAGCAGACCACTTGTCCGACTTAGCCGAGATGTTCGCCATTCTCAAAAAACACAAGCTACACCTGAATGCATCTAAGTGTGCCTTTGGCGTGGGATCCGAAAAATTCTTAGGCTTCCTAGTCACGAACCGAGGCATCGAAGCAGACCCCACACAGATCAGAGCCGTACAAGAATTGAAGCAGCCTAGCTCGGCTAAGGACGTGCAGCATCTGGCCG